GAAAACAAAGACCGTCCCACTCTAGTGTAAACTCTACACCGAGCAACTCCGAAACAGAGATGTCCCCCGTTTGAAACCTGCCTCGGTGAAAACAAAATCCTTCCCACTCTAGTATAGACTCAGCTCCTAACACTTCCAAAACATCCCTGGACCAACCTTGAAACCACCCTCGGTGAAAACTTCACCGACCCTAGTATGGACTCTACACCTACCGATTCCAAAACATACAAGTTCCGAGTTCAAAACCAACCTTCACCGACACTAGTATGAACTCGGCTACCAACAATTCCAAAACATGCATGTTCCGAGTTCAAAACCAACCTTCACCGACAGTAGTATGAACTCGGCTACCAACAATTCCCAAACATGCATGTAACAACTTTCCAACCTGCCTCAGTGCTAACAAAATTCCCCGACCCTAGTATGAACTCGACTCCCATCAATTCCTAAACATCCATGTACCAACTTTGTAACCTACCTCGGTGAAAACTTCACCGACCTTAGTTTAACTCTACCTAACAATTCCAATGATGCATATACGAACTTTGTAACCTGCCTCGGTGAAAACACCCCCGTCCCTAGTCTGAACTCGGTTACCAACAATTTCAAAACATGCATGCTCCGAGTTCAAAACCAACCTTCACCGACACTAGTATGAACTCGGCTACCAACAATTCCTAAACATGCATGTACCAACTTTGCAACCTGCCTCGGTGTTAACAAAAACTCCCCTGACCCTAGTATGAACTCGGTTACCAACAATTTCAAAACATACATGTTCCGAGATCAAAACCAACCTTCACCGACACTAGTATGAACTCGGCTACCATCAATTCCTAAACATGCATGTGCCAACTTTGTAACCTGCCTCAGTGTTAGCAAAACTCCCCGACCCTAGTATGGACTCTACACCTACCGATTCCAAAACATGCATGTTCCGAGTTCAAAACCAACCTCGGTGAAAACTTCACCGACGTTAGTTTAACTCTCCCTAACAATTCCAAAACATGCATGGTCTAGATTCGAACCCTGCCTCGGTGAAAACGTCACCGACTCGTGTATAAAATCTGTCCCAACCAACTCCAAACCTTCCCTGGGCACCCGAATAAAAATAACTCACCCAGCCCCTTAATCAATAAAAATTATTGATTTGTACTTTAGAGTGATTAGGTTGAATGATATGTATGCTAACGTCATATCATATTTAGTTCATTGCCTTTTTTTGGTTGAGGTTAAACATCGCCATGTTTTCAAATATCGCGATGTACGTCACGTTCTCTCCCCTCTTACCTAGTAATCGCTTCCTCTACCCATTGTTTACAACACGCTTACAAAGAAAAAATATCCCACCCTCTACTTGAGACATAAAATACAAAAGTGTATTGTGCCTTGTCGTCACAGGAAACAAAAACGGTAGCGTCTAATGTTGTTAACCCTTGTCTTCCTAAATTATTTTTTAACTTGTTAAAGAAATTGACTGTTTAGTTAAGGAATCTGACGCGAATTTTTTTCACAAGGGACGATACTCGTGTGTGTAGATAAGTCTGTTCTAATTTTAGAACAGTTGTCTTTCCTCTCGTTTCTCTATTAGGGAAGCCGTAAGGGGAAGACACGCGACACGTCTTTTAAAATGTAAACAAGCGTGCACGGTGTGCACTTAAAATAAACCCCGCTGCGACAATTGTTAAATTTATCTGGCTCAGTGTGGTCAAATGGTGGTCAGATCAAAAGAAAATCGGAACGGTCATAAAAAAAAAAAAAAAACGTAATTACTTTTCCAGACTTGTAAAAAACATGTCTACCCCGCATACCTACGTACCAACGCACCAAGTCGCCCATTAAAAAACACGAACCTACCGAGATTTCGTTTCGTCTCAAAACCTGACTTAACGGTGGTTGAAAGAAAATTCCGACCCTTAAATATATTTTTGTTTTCGCTGACCCTCGCTATAAGCGAATAGTTACAACCATTAATCTTTCATACATAGCAAGGGACGGTTCGCATGACATGTGGAAACAAATTTTTTTAATTTGATCAAAGAATGACCGGGCGTACGATATGTGAACATAGTTCATGTACAGCTGTAGTCTAATGAAAAAAGCCGAGAGCCGTGACTAATTACAGCACCAGCTGTCGCCACACTTAACGCGGAGAGGGACTTAATGGCTTCGATTAATTACCTGTTGTGATCGCTTCAGTGAGCCCGCTATTAAGCAACCACGGTGAGCGCCTGGGAGGATTACGGGCGGATCGATAAGTACAAGCTGTCGCTAATAAGTAACAGCTGTGGTTAAATGGATGTTATACACAATGACACTTTCTAGTACACGCTAGTGTTAGTCTTTTATTTCAAACGGCGTACAACAAAGAAATTAAAAGCAAACTAATTAAAATGAATTTCAAACAAATAAATTATACAAAGTAATTAAATTAAACAACAAGTAAACAACAATTAAAAATAAAATAATAATTTAAAAAATTTAAAAAGTTAAAAAATTAAAATCAAATTACGTAACTCGTTAATAATAATTAAACTAATTATAAAATTAAATTAAAAAATTAAAAAATTTAAAAAATTAAAATCAAATTACGTAACTCGTTAATAAAAAATTACACATAGATGGACCATCATACTGATGGTCAGTAGGTGCGATCAATATTAACTTGGCCCTTGTACGGTGGTTGACAAGAACAAAGGATCGCATGTGGATCGATACGTGTCGGGTGCCATTAGCGAGTAACAGGTGTCTCTAATGGATGTTTGTAGTCGACATAAACCCACGATGCATCACCAAATTAATTAGGCGGACCATCATTTGATGGCTGTGTGTGGAATCAATATTAACGCGCCCGTTGTCCCGATGGCTCCGTGGGTGCGATCAATACATTCCCATTAAAAGCGCAGCGCGTGTCAACAAAGGATCACGGATCGATAAGTAACAGATGTGGTTAAATGGATGTTCTATTTTCGGTAACCGTTCGTTGTGTTGCTGAATGGTCCATAACGTTGTTGATTTTTAAAACTTGAAGTTTATAATCTTAAGCAAATTTACCACCACCACCACCACCACCACCACCACCACCACCACCCGCTTGGTAACATCTGTCGCCAATAATTAACAGCAAACTAATTAAAATGAATTTCAAACAAATAAATTATACAAAGTAATTAAATTAAACAACAAGTAAACAACAATTAAAAATAAAATTTAAAAATAATAATTTAAAAAAATTTTAAAAATTTAAAAAAATTAAAATCAAATTACGTAACTAGTTAATAATAATTTAACTAATTATAAAATAAAATTAAATTAAAAATAAACAAAATAAAAATAATTAAAAAGTAAACAAATAATCAAGTTACGTAACTCGTTAATAAAAAATTACACAATATAAACAAAGTAATTAAATTAAACAACAAGTAAACAAACAAATTAAACAAAATAAAAATACAATCAAAGTAATTAAATTACGTAACTCGATAATAAAAATTAATTAAAAATTTAAAAACTCCTTAAAAACGCATTAAAATTACGTAACTAGGTCAAAAATTAATTAAAATTTAAAAAACTCATTAAAAAACGCATTAAAATTACATAACTAGGTCAATGATGACGTCACAAGGCCGATGATTACGTCACAAGGTCACCAAAAGGTGACTCACCCTTCACTCCTCCGCCAACCCCAGTTGGCGTAGTATTTTACTATATGTCGTTGTACCAGGCTGCGCATCCTGCTCACCCACCCTTACCCTCCCGATGCGCCAGGCTGGGAGTATTTTGCTATATATCATTGTACCAGGCTGCGGCAGGCTGCGCATCCTGCTCCGAGTATTTTGCTATATGTCATTGTTCCTCACCCTCCGCTCCTCCGCCAAAAATGATACCCAAAAGGGACCTAATATACTACTTAGGTGGACTCAAAAGATGTCATGCAAACGTGAGAACGGAATATGAACTTGATAGTCGTGTTAAAAGTCGTGCGCTCTACTACCCGACTTCACAAACACTCTGATCCACCGGAACTAGTCGCACAGGCTTGATAAGTGAACTCTACTTCATCTACCATATTGACCGTCTGATCCTAAAATGCTTTAGGTAGTTCTATTATAACAAGGTTGCATTATACCAAACTTAAATAAATATTGTTGTTTTATAAGGAAGTTTCCCTTTGAATTAAGTTAAATACTAGCATCTCATAATTCTCTTTTCGTGTTTGCGTTGTTGTGTTTTATACTTCCTTTTTAAGATAAAATATCAGATTCTAAAAACACTTATGTTGCACTTATATACATGTGTTTGTTGTTTCATAATATTTACACGCAATTTGAGTAAAGTTTTGTTTTTGTTGCGTATAATCCCCGCAATATTTTTTTCCAATGAGTTTTATGTCTCTATTATATAGCTCAGACGGCATGTCCCAACTTTATATTACCCACCATATAATACGTGGAACGGCGTGGTCGAATAATAACGCGTTCGACTGTTAACCGAAAAGTTCCCAGTTCGTAAACAGGGATCCAGCTCGTAGGACGACCCCGAGTCAACCTAGCTTTATGGGTCCCATACTCACTTATGGCAAAATAAATTATCCTCTGGGTATAGTGTTAACAACTACATTCCTCAAGCAGAGGTCACTTAAACACATGAACTCTACCTGACATGCACCCACGGAATATTCTATGACCCGGAATTCCTTTTTAATTTTTGTACGATTGTGCACACAAAACAAGATACTTAAAGTGATATATATATATATATATATATATATATATATATATATATATATATATATATATATATATATATATATATGCGATGTACATTCTATTTTCTTTGAATTTAATTACTATAACTACGTTAATTTATGTATTCTTTGTTAATTCGATATATTAAAATATTGAACTTAAATATAGTTAACTTGTATAACACTTGTATAACACTTGTATAACACTTGTATAACACTTGTATAACATTTGTATAACACTGTTTCAGGTACAGAAAGATCTGTACACCTTTTGGGAAGCAAGTCACAATGTGGCACGCTAAAATCTTGAGCATCGCCTTAGCTGCAGCCTCCTTCATCTTCTCCGTACCGTACGCCATCATCAACGGGCGGCAGACCAAGAAGATAGTACGACCCAACAACGTTACTGTTACTGGGTTTGAGTGTACCGTGGACGACGCGTACCTCGGCACAATCTGGCCTCTGCTCAACGCGGGATTTTTCGTGCTCCTGTTCGTCGTCTGCTGCGTGCCGCTTGTCGTGCTGTACATTCTCATCGGACTCAAAGCTTGGCGGCACAGCGAGGTCTACGGGGTCAAGGCCGGCGCCCAAAGCCAATCCGCCGCCAGCGAATCCAGCACGAGCGGCGACATGATGACGAAATCGTCCAGCGTGTCAAACTCGGTCAAGCAAACAAGGTCAAAGTCGTACATCAGAAAACAAAGCGACGAGAAGGAGAGAAAAAACGAAACAGACGGTAAAATACTGGGGGTTTCTGCTGAAGACAACAACGAGGATAATGTTATCGAGTTCGTCAAAGCGGACGTGAAGGAGAGTTCAGCTGTTAGCGATGATGTGTACGCCGTGAAAATGACAAGAGGACCTCGGGTCCCCAACGTCAACTTATCCATGGTCAGGGAACTCACCGTTAAGCTCAAAGCGGTGCAGAAAGCTACGGAGAACCAGGTCGATGAAAACAACGACGCGGGCTCGAACACAGACAAAACCGGACATGATACTAGTGACGTTGATACCCCAAAAATAAATAACGGAAATTCGGAAGATCATCCAAAACTGAGATCGGAAATCGAAATGCCGAAAACCGCGAAGGAGTATGCAAATTTGATGAAGAAAAGAAAATTAGAGACGATTGATAGCTGTGAAGGTGAAAATTATGATGCAGAAAAGGGACAGGAAACTGGCGAGGGTAAATGTACAAAAAATTCTGGGAGTTTGTCAAGGAGAGTTACCCACAAAACAAAACCCGAGGATAATGAAGGAGCAGATGGGGATAAAAATAACCCGGAAAAATCAAATTCTAATAAAAACGACGAAGAAATCGACGAAGCGCCGAGCGACTTTGCCAAAATGATGCAGTGGGTTGACATTACCTACTGCCTCAACGGCGACAACCCGGATCAAGAGATCCAACCTGATACGGAAGACGGTCCTTCCGGCACGTTGGCCAAAAAATGTTCTTTCACGTCCTCTCGTAAAATCTCTCGAGATAACAGTTTCCTGAAGAAACACCGGAAGCTCAGAGAAGCGCTGACAGACACTCTGACACGGGCGAGGAAAAGCAAAAAAGATAAGGAAGTCGATAGAAAAAGCGGCTCGGGGGTAGACCAAAACGATAAAATTGATGAAAGCTACACAGATACAACCCAAAACGGCAACCACGTCGATGAGAACACGAACGAAGACGATAAAAAAGTTGACGGAAATTTAAAACCCGAAACAACAATACAGCCTAGCGAAGAAAAGCAGATAATTTCCGATAAACACCACAGAAGCAGACGACGAGGGATGAGTCGTACAACGTGTATGCTTCTTCTCATAAGTGTTGTTTACATTTTCGGCTTCTTGCCCTTTTTGGCCCTAGCGTTTTTTAAAACAGCGGCGTCGGAGCATTACAACGCAATGAACAACCTTGAACATACATTTTACAACCTGTTTCTCAGATCGTACTTTTTAAACTGTGCGGCGAACCCCATAATCTACAGCTTGTGTGATTTTAATTTTAGAAAAGAGTGCTTAAAATTAATGAAACTATCGTGATGTTGCTAAACAATTTGGTACCAAAACGGGAAGCAAATATATATATATATATATATATATATATATATATATATATATATATATATCATAACAGTAATGCAGAATTATATATTTTTAACTCCATACCGATGAAACTATTGTATTAAAACTAACGCTTACATTTTCGTTTTATTTTAACTTTAACTATTTTTAAATTCAATAATCTTTTATTGTTTTATAATATTTTGTTCTATTTTGTAACTTCAGTTCTATGATTCATAAATTGTATATATGGTTTATATGCACATTTCATTTAAAATAAAATCACTTAAATTATATGTCAGAACCAAAGCCTGTACATATTTTAATTTCCACTTGTAACTTGGCATACATGTAAAGCTTTGGTTCTTTAAATAGAATAATCTAAGCCAACCCAGGAAATAGTTGCTATAAATAAATCTGCTTCATGTTAACTTGTTGTGTTGATATTCTTTTGTCTTTAGACCAGTGGCGTAGGGAGGTAGGGTGTCACCCGGTGCGGCACTTAATGGTGTCACCTCCCAGAGACGTAGTAAACCTTCCCGGGGACAAACTTTCAAATTTTCGATTTGCACCCCCCCCCTCAAACTTTCTATTTGCACCCCCCCCCCCATCAAGTTCTCTATATATTTTGCTATTTTTTGCCTTGGTGTCACCCCCCTAAATGGTGTCACCCGGTGCGGTCCGCACCCCCCCCTCGCTACGCCTCTGCTTTAGACCATAATGAAAGTTCAATTGATAGTTTAACGTGTTTATAAAATAGCGAACACATTAAGCCATTTACTGTAATTAGTAATGTTAACTCCTTTTAAAAACACAGAAGATCACTATAAAGCAACATCAGTGTTATTTAAAAATATTAATATATCATCAAAATAGGGTTAGTTACAATTAAACTTATATTGGTAGATTGATCAGATGTATGTGGTAAAGTGAGGGGGTGGGGGGGGGGGCTCGCTACACCTCCTGAAAACACTGGTTTTTCAGGTGTACATCAGATATGATGTATTATTTTTTTATATGAATATGTATGTTGTCTGTTACACACAGAATATATGCATACATCTGAAACTGGCCTGCATCAAAGGTAACGCAACATGTATGACTGCACCAAAAGTTTATAATAATTTAAAAATAATAATTTGTTAACAATATATATCTGACACTGTTACTGTACAAGAGCATTGGATTAATATTCCGTGTGAGAGTGTATTGCCGTGTCATCAATCATGTACTAAACGCTTGTTAAGTTTTAATTTGTTTTTGTTTTTGCTTGAAGTCATTACACGATTCGGAAAAAAAGTGATTCAGTCAACGAAACTCGTGAGTCATTGAGAAAGTGTAAACATTGTATTGACTGACAAAACACGATTGTTAACGATGACTTGAATTGTCAACTTCTTCCGAGGTTTGAAAATCTATGTTATTAATCGGCAATTAAAAGGAAGAATTTAAGTACTAAGATGTTTGAGTGTGTAGATTTTAAGTGGCGTTGTGGGAAATAACAAATCACGAGGTTAAGATGACTTGACACAAATCATTTGTCAAAATGTAACATATTATTACATAAAGTTGCTTACTTATCTTTTTGTATTGCTTGTTTGTTTTTTTTAATTATATAATTCGATGTATCGCGTTATCAGAACTAGTATGAATCAACTCTGTTTTTCGCTTTTTTAAATACTTCTACACTATTCTGTATGATGTCCAGCAAATTACAATGATAAAAATATTTTTTGTGACACCTCTTATTATTATTATTAAACAACTATAATATTTCACCAAATACTTAAATGAAATGTTTAAAAAAAAACAAAAATTAAAAATTAAAGCCTTTTTTAAACAACATTACTGATTTTTTTTACAAAAATAGAGTTAGAATCATCTAGTTCTGGATATGTAAAGAGTTTCTTCCAGGCATCACTTCGAAAAAATTCTACGGCCCCCTCCCCCCGAACGAGATGGATTGTATATAGTAAGCATACACTTTTACTAGTGTCCGCCCCCCCCCCCCCGAGAAATGTTGACCGCCCCTTCCCCCCCCCCCCCAAAATTTAAAGTGCCTCCCCCGGAGAAAAAAAGTCTGGAAGAAACACTGAATATATTTACACGTGTGTAAAACCAGAAAAGACTTTCAACTTTGATACTTAGACTCTTGATTATTGTTAATATTAAATTACAAATTATCGCCTTTTTTAAACAACATTACTAATTTTTTTACAAAAGAAGAGTTAGAATCATCTAGTTCTGGATATGTACAGAGTTTCTTCCAGGCATCAGTTCAAAGAAAGTCTACCCCTCCCCCTCGAACGTGATGGATTTTATATAGTAAACATACACTTTTACTAGTGTCCCCCCAAGTAAAGACTTTCAACATAGATACTTAGGCTCTTGATTATTGTTAATGATTGAAGTGAACAAAGAACATCCCGTTGGGTGGGTCGCATTATTGTGTACTCTGTAACGACAGGGTTGGGCGAGCTACTCAAGCACAAGTAGACACTAGTCGCCGCCATGATAACCTACTTAGGGCTGACCCCGACACACGTGTTGAACGAAGTCTAAGTTGGAGCAGTGCGCCGAGTACTTAGCGAGGGGAGGTGTGTGACACTTGTGAGAGGGGAGAGGGCAAACTTCGCGAGACGAGAGCGTTTTGACAGTCCACCAGCAAGACTTGGGTGAGTGTGTGTGGTCGGGGGGGAGGGGGGGGGGGAGTCGACGACGACTTAATAGTGGAAATATGTAACTGTACCGACTTTAAACTTTTTTACACTTAAGACTATTTTTGGTTTCAACCGTTGTTGAATGATGAATGTCTACAGTCAATCGAAACTGATGCGATTAAAAATTAAATATGCGTTTTATTGATTACAGAATGTATGGATAATTTTTAAAAATAGTAACACAAACACGTAAAGATTTCGTAAAAATTTGTGTAATAATTAGAAATATTGAAATCTTAAAAAAGTAATTATGTTAATGCTTTTAAAAAAAAAATGAGTCCTTTGTTTTTAAATTTGACAAATACAACAATTTAAATAGTTAAAAAGTTTTCCAAAATCATTTTGGTAAAAAAGAAGTAAAATTAGCAGTTGATGTAAAAAATGTGTATAATAGATGGATGATGTTTGAATGGGTAGACTACATTTGTGTGGCCGTAATGGTGTGTTTAAATTCGAGTGGGTAGTTTGGTGTGGTTAAATTGGTGTGGGTATTTTGGGGTGGTTAAATTGGTGTGGGTATTTTGGGGTGGGTAAATTGGTGTGGGTAGTTTGGTGTGGGTAAATTGGTGTGGTTAAATTGGTGGGGATAAATTGGTGTGGTAAATTGGTGTGGGTAGATTGGTGTGGTTAAATTGGTGTGGCAAATTGATGTGAATAAATTGGTGTGGTTAAATTGTGTGGTTAAATTGGTGTGGTTACATTTGTTTGGGTAAATTGGTGTGGGTAGTTTGGTGTGGTAAATTGTTGTGGTAAAATTGTGTGGTTAAATTGGTGTGGTTAAATTTGTGTGGATAGTTTTGTGTGGTTAAATTGGTGTGGTAAAATATATGTGGTTAAATTGGTGTGGTTAAATTGGTGTGGTTAGTTTGGTGTGGTTAAATTGGTGTGGTTAAAATTGGTGTGGTTAAATTGGTGTGGGTAGTTTGTTGTGGGTAAATTGGTGTGGTAAAATTGTGTGGTTAAATTGGTGTGGTTAAATTGGTGTGGTTAAATTGGTGTGGTAAATTGGTGTGGTAAAATTGTGTGGTTAAACTGGTGTGACTAAATTGGTGTGGGTAAATTGGTGTGGTTAAATTGGTGTGGGTTGTTTGGTGTGGTTAAATTGGTGTGGTTAATTGGTGTGACTAAATTGGTGTGGTTAAATTGGTTTGGGTAGTTTCGTGTGGTTAATATGGTGTGGGTAGTTTGGTGTGGTTAAATTGGTGTGGTTAAATTGGTGTGGTTAGTTTGGTGTGGTAAAGTGGTGTGGTAAAATTGTGTGGTTAAATTGGTGTGGTTAAATTGGTGTGGTTAAATTGGTGTGGTTAGTTTGGTGTGGTAAATTGGTGTGGTAAAATTGTGTGGTTAAATTGGTGTGGGTTAACTGGTGTGACTAAATTGGTGTGGTTAGTTTGGTGTGGTAAATTGGTGTGGTAAAATTGTGTGGTTAGTTTGGTGTGGTAAACTGGTGTGACTAAATTGGTGTGGGTAAATTGGTGTGGTTAATTTTGTGTGGGTAATTTGGTGTGGGTATAATGGTGTGGTTAATATGGTATAGGTAGTTTGGTGTGGTTAAATTGGTGAGGTTAAATTAGTGTGGTTAAATTGGTGTGGTTAAATTGGTATTTTAAATTGGTGTGGTTAAATTGGTGTGGTTAAATTGATGTGGTTAAATTGGTGTGGTTAAATTGGTGTGGTTAGATTGGTGTAGCTACATTGGTGTGGTTCTATGGTTATAGATAGACTGGTGTAGTAGATTAGCGTATCTTTTTATGTAAGTATATAGGTGTGGGTAGTTTGGTGTGGGTATAATGGTGTGGATATATTTTTGTGGGAATATGGGTGTGTGAACAAAAGTGTGGGAATACTTGTGTGAGTATATTGGTGTAGATCTATAAAATATAGATCGGTTAGACGAGTGAAGACGTACATTGTACATTTTTTTTCTATCTACAAATGTAATAAATAAAGTGAGATCTCCGTGAATTTAAATAGGCTGGTGCAGGGGTGTTTCAAAGGTTTGGTAGAAGCTGGATCAAATTTAACTATCTGTTCGATCACTCCGATCTGTAAATAGGAGAGAAAAACAGATTTATTAAATCAAGGGACACAACTATCGTTAATAGAATTTATTTTCTTAACGTTGTTATTTCCCTTTTTATTACACACCGATGTTTAATTTTTTTTTAAATATTTTTTTATAGTTAATACATGGTTTATATAATTATTATGTTTTGTTAATGGTAATAAGATTATATTTGTTTAATTATTAGCTATTTCGCATGATCACACATTCATTCGGTTGATTATTAAATATTGTTTCGTACGATTATTGATATTTTTAAAATGCTTGTTAGATAATTTTTTTTTCTATGAAAATTAGCAATCTTTGTACAGAAATTGGACATTTGTTATGAAAGTATTCTTTA